GTCCAACCTTAGTCACTTTTCATCTTTCTCATTTCTGGAAAACCTTGAATAGCAGTCATATAGCGCAAACAGAGTGCAGTACAAAGCAATTTTTTAGCTACTTCAACTGGCTTCTCAGGTTTTTTAGAATAACTTTTTCGAAAGTCCAATTGCGAAGTCGCAAAACACACAGACGCACCAAATACTAACCAATCTTCAAAATTCAACACTTTGAAAATTGTCATGATTATACACTAATTTTCACTATGCAACTGAGCGCTAACCACGTTGCAATTTTCGTATTCTACGGGTACAGCCTGAGGCGGGTTCAAAATCAGGATTTATGATTTTACCGCCAAAGACTACACCACGAGTCGGTAAGAAAAAACGTCTGTCAGAAAAAGTAGAAGAAACTGCATCGAACAGTACCAGAGTTGCTTGCCTGTTGATGTTCTGCGAGATTGATATACCAAGTATGGAATTTGTTGACATCGGAAAAATAGTCCCTTTAATTTTGGAAAGCCAGAGAAACGAGAGAAAAATTTGTAATATTGCACTTCGTTTGTTCTATCCAGCTGCATGAACAAGTATCAGATGTATGAGCTAGGGTGGTCATAGAATGATTCCATACTCGTTTCTTCGATGTGGGGATCAAGTTAATTTAGAAAGTACTTACAAAATGTAATGAATCATTAAAAGAGTTTCAAATGCTCTTCGTAGAAAATGTCGAGGGATCAGTGCTGGACTTTCGACTCGCAGTGGCTGGGATAATCGTCCTGAAAAAATGCTCGAAGATATCGATTATCGACATTACAACGGCGAATAGTCAACAATCGGTAGTAAAAACAGCCTCAGCCGGAACTTTTGGGTCGTGTCGGTGCTATTTTGTTTGTTGGCAGCACATGTTCTGATCGTGCAGCCAGCTGCAACTAGTGTATCCGGATATCGTGGATGAATGTCGACTCTGCTTCACGCCTTACTCATTTCTGCACTCGCATCGCTCGTCGGCATAGCCGGCCTCGGCTATCGGCGATTCATCCTCATGCGAAATGCAGCCATTCACGTTCTGGCATTTCTAGTCTGTGCCTATGTCTATATTCGATGGGTGGTGTCCAGATTAGTGCCGCGAATTCGCGGACTCAATCTCAAGTTTCTGGATCTGAACCATCACCTCAGGTTCGAGCCTCCTGAGTTCATCGACCGAGGCTTCTCCGACTTGACTAAATACGGTAAACCTCTTTTGCTTTGATTGTTCGCACTGTTTTACAAGCATGTTATCCTCAGCATTTTGTTTGTGTAATAGTACCTGTAGCATTTTTCCATTGTGCCTGTGGTGCCATAGATGGCTTTGTTTTTATTTTGCAAGATGCACTAAAGCGACAGCCAAAAATATTTGAAAAGCGCATATAGCTTGATGTGCCGTACGTACCCTTTCTTATCAATTGAACCATTGCATTTTTTCCATTTCTGCAGTTTTTT